TCTCTTAGTGTTTGCTTTTGTAGGCTAAGGGCCTGGGTGGGGTGAGGCTGCCTCTGGACATCAGCATGTTCCTGCAAATGCCGGGGTGTGGCTTAATTAGCCAGGCAGCTGGGATGCTGGCATGGATGCTTGTAAGTAAACTTGTGAGTGAATGAATGCATGCATGCATAAGGCCATCTCGGGTTACTGGGGCTGTAAACTTCCCCTTTGGGGAATAGCATGAGCTGTGCTGAGCCTTGGGGAAGTGGGGTGAGAAGCGTTTCTGCCTGGCTGCAGCTGTTTTTCCCAAGCGCAGACAGCGATCCTAGCTTCACTTCCTCACAGGGAGAGGTATGATATTAGGAAAACAGATGGATGTAAGCAAAACATAATAAAAAACAAGAGGAATTTGTAGGGAGCAAATAAAACAAAAAGGGAAGGAAAACAAAGTCCAAACTGCAGTGTTGAACAAGGATATACATTCTCTGAGTGAGCATATGAGATGGTGGGGGAAATCTGTATGCAGAGAACTTAAAGCTCCTTGTGTGCTTCATTTACAAACATCCAGAAAAACTGTTGCTCCCCAAATTCCACATCTGTTGGCTTCTCACAGTTGCTTCTTGGATGATACTAGAGGAAAGATAGTTAGTGAGCTCTTTTTTTCCCCTGAAGCCAAAACAACCATGTTAAAGTACAGAGAATGGAGCAGGAAAAGCTGGGCACATTCCTATGGAAAATGAGGGAATTGCTTAATTGTGAGGGAGTTTTAGTCTGTGTCCTTGTTGGTCAATCGTGTTTGAGTAAAAACCAGTAAACATAATGGGATATCTCTTTAGCAACAGAAACAGAGAGGGAAAAGAGCAGGAGGGAGGTTCACAATGTTTATTCTGTGTGAGAAAGGTATGCTGCTGTTTGCTTCCAAACGTTTCTATCAAAAAGCCCCAACAATGATTCTGTTCCTTCAGATGAAGACCAAGGCAAACCTATAATGTTGGAGAGCTCATCAGAAGTAAGCTATCAGAAGGTTAAAATTGTGTTAGGCTGAACACAGTAATCTTTCTTCTTTCTACCTTAAGCAGAAAGGTAAATATTTACCTGCTGCTAGAAATGTGACCTGATAGACCTACAACAGTGTTTCTTAACCTTGGTAACTTGAAGTCCACGCATTTCAAGTTGCCAAGGTTGAGATGCATTGACCTACAGTGTCTGATAGAGATGGGTAAACTTGTCAATTTCAGTTTTTATCAGTGCTTTATTTTTCCATATATTTAGATTGTTCCATTTCTGACCTAGTTTCTAGTTTAGTTTTGGTTCTGAAATTTGCATCAGAAGTTTATTGTTTTCCCCACCATAGCAGCTGACATTATTTGGAAACAAAGCCTATTCTTTGCCTCACTGAATACATTTGTCTATTTCCCTTAATAAAATTATCATTTGGGTTAGGGCTGAGAGAGAGTAAACTTCTGTAGTTTTGCTTACAAGTTTACTTAATACAGATTTTTCGTAATCAATTATCCTATTATAATGCATTATATATTATTTTCATGAAGATGAATATTCATGGGAAATCAACAACTACATTTTAGGAAAATAAATATACTGGCGGGCTGGTGACTTTGGATCGCTAATGCAGGATTTACCTTGAATATGACTTGGTGGATTATATTAATTGGTTTTTGCCCTTCTCAAGGTAAAATGGAATGAAAAGGCTACTATTTGAAAAAAAAATAGAGAATATCAGATTACTTCATAAAACTTAAAGCTATTTTAGCTTAAAGCAGCTATCTCACCAAACATTTATCTGTCTCTAACCATGATCAAACCAAAGTAGAACTCTGGAAACAAACAAGTACACAATTGTGGCTCATTTTTTTTAAAAAAATAGAATGTTAATGTAATCCAGATGTGTAAAAGGCTTATTTTTTTATGCTAGTTTATTTTCGAATTCTTTGTAAGCAGTCATTTTGTACTCTCTTTCAAACATAATGCAGTTTCAGGGAAAGAACTGGTTTGACATATTGTTGTCAAATGCCAGGAGTTCCATTCCTACTATTCTTTAAATCCAATTTAAAATAAGATAAACAATGGGCTTCTTTATTAAAAGGTACAGTTAATTTAGACAATGTAACTATTATATCTTAATTCATTGCCTCTGAAAATATATACTAATTGCTTTTAAGATAATTACTATAAATTGAAAACGTAGCCATCTATATTATAATGCATTCAGTATCTGAATGTTCAAGCAGTGTGTTAGCTTTCAAAAACATTATTCATTATATATTTTATTTTTCATATAAATGAAACATTTTATTTGAGTTGTCCTTTAACTTTTATGCTGTAATGTGTTGAGAATGTCAGGCTTTTATTTTCAAGTATGATATGCATTATATACTTCTTTTCAATAATTTTGATCACATATACTGTAAATGAGATCTGTGACATCTAAGTAATTAAATTTGGCTAATTCCTGATCACTTTTTGTGTCTTGCTTCGGTTGAAATTATTTAGAGTCAAGGGCTATTTTTCATCTTGCCTTACTGCAAGGCTGAATACTGAATAGAAAACAGAAAAGTATTTTATAATACTATTTAGAACATGTTTTTGAGAGCCGGTTTGGTGTGGTGGTTAAGACACCGGGCTAGAAAGCAGGAGATTGTGAATTCTATCCTGACTTAGGCATGAAAAACAGCTGGGTGACTTTGGGCCAGTCGCTCTCTCTCAGCCCATGTTGTCAGGCTCAAGCGACAAGCTGGTCAGTCAGTTCCTGTCACAACCAATGGATTAATATTTGGTTGATCTGCTTTAGTTTGGGCAGCTTATCACATAAAGTTAGTGCATAATGTTAACAGAAATGAATAATGGTAGGTTTCTATACCTCTGCCTTTAAAAGTACTTCATGCCTTAATATAACCTTACACCTCAATACTTCTGTCATTTGTCTCAGTATAAAAGGATTTTAGCTAAAAGACTAACTTGGGAATTAGCTACTTAATGGTAATGTTTTCTGGAATCAAAGCAGGGTTTTGCTATACCTCATTAAGAAAAAGAAACTTTACACACATCCATGTTATTTACTTTGCTGCAGCTAGAACTGAAGCTCAGAGCCAAAATTCAAAGCCTCAAAAACCAAGATCCTCCAAAATGACTATCTGAAAAGTGGCAGATGATGTGATCACTCATAGGCCAGTATCAAGAAAAAGTTCATGGATATAACTACTCATGCTCCTTTATTATATTTTGTTATTTTGCCACACTAAAATACTGTAAAGACCATATAACAAATATCTAAAACTTATTGGAGTCAGCTGAGGTGCATTCAAATTCTGTAAGGCAATGTTTCTGATTTTTCCTTTATGTCAACCATTATATCATCATTATATGATTAAAACAATACATTTTTATGAACCACATGTAAGCCAGTGATAAGGAAAACAGCCCCTGGGAGCACCATGGCATGCTTGAACTGCCAGATGGTGTTTATGGGTTCCAAATATATTTTCAAAAATGATAGAAGGGCTGCCTACATTATGCGAAGACCCAACTCTCTGGAGAAGGTTCTAATGCTGGGAAATGTGGAAGGAGAGAAGAAGAGGATAACAACAGCAAGGTGGATGGACTCAGTTACAGAGGTGATGAGTGCACCATTGGGAAAGCTGAAAGATCAGGTTAGGGACAGATTGTCATGGAGAAAATCTATCTATGTGGTAGCTAAGAGTTGACAAAGACTTGATGGCACATAATCAATCAACTTTTGAAAGATATTGACATTATAACTTGAAATCTCTTAAGAATCCAGGTAAACATATTGATCTTGCAATATTTGGGGCATTTTTAATTTTTTAAAATTAATTTTTATTTTGACTCTTCCATAATGGTCATTTGCAGTACCTTCATGAACACTGATTCCATCCTTACATTTCTCAAATATACCATTGGACCAATTGTACATTTTTATAAAGATTGCCTACTATGAAATTCTTTCTTGTCCCTTTTGTTGTAACTGCCAGGCAACAATGGTTGTGATAAACACTGTGATAAACCTGCAACACTTAAGTTGCACATGGGGAAACTATTGCTACATGAACACAAGCCAGATTGTACACAATTATATCATGATTGGATAAACACATCTGTTGCAGAAATCCTTAGAGCATTTTTTTCCCATGATATCAGAAATTCCACTTTCAAGTCTGGTTTTGGAACTGTTTATTATATAAATGTAATGCTTTACTTAGAAAAGGCAGAATTATTAATATAGTCAATTAAACTCTGTTTAAATCAATCATATAAAATAATTCATAGTGAACCATCTCTGGCATTGCTTTGTGTTGTAGCTGAAAACTAAAATTTGATCAGGCCATGAAGTACTGTGTTACTAAATAGAGATACACATGGAAAAGTCATCTGAAGGACACTGGTATTTAAGATCGTTCTTGTCTCAAGCAATGTCCAATAGGGATTTCAATGGTTCTGGTATTAAAATATGATACTCTTTGATTCTGGTACTAAAATGTGACAGTGTTTTCATTTTAGATGAGTATATGTGTATATATAATATGTATACGTGTGTGTACTTATATTGTCTGAGTTGGATATCTTAATACCAATTAATGTTGTGTGGCGATGGTATTAATGGTTCTAGTCCATTTGCATTTGAAATTATTCAAGGCAGCAAAAATGGCATATTTAATAATTAACTTTAATATGCTATCGTTTTGATTGATTGCTACTTTAGAATTATTTAAATTGTTAAAAAAAGCTTTTGTTTTTTTCCTTCTCTAACAAGGGATCATCATAGTCAAAGTTGATGGCAACAAGCCATATATATTTGGCAAGCAGATCTGCATATAGAGCAGGAAGGTCTAAGTTAGTGCTCAGTTTATTTATGTGTTTCTGAGCCATGCCACGAAGCATAGAACTTGTTTTTGTTTCAAGTAACAATAATATCCTTGATTCTTTCTGAACCAAAAAAGTGCTGCTAAAGAAACTATAGTTAAAAACCATATTTCTTTCTTTAGGTATCATGATCAACAAGATGTTACTAGCAACTTCCTTGGAGCAATGTGGTTGATTTCAATAACTTTTCTCTCCATTGGATATGGAGATATGGTACCTAATACATACTGTGGGAAAGGAGTTTGCTTACTTACTGGAATAATGGTAGGTGATTCCAGCTTTAATTTCTACATGCCTTGTGAGTTTGAATCATTTTCAGAATGTCTGCGCTGACTTTAAAACACAAATTATCAATACAAAACTGGTTATGAAATCTTCAGTTGACCTAAGATATAAAAGATGAAAAATTACCTGCTAAAATGTAACCTAAACTGACTTTGTACTCACTTTGATGACTTCTGAATAGCTAGGTATAAGATTACTATAAAAGGTTCATACCACACAATATATTAACTATGCTGCATAAAGCAACTAATTCCCTTTGAATTTTATTCTAAATTTATATTGTTTTCCTCTTGTCTAAATCTCTTGGAGAGAATGGCAAATTTAAAACATTAATATTCTAGGAGAGAGATTCAAACCCCCTGCCTTAAATATAGATATCACAGTCTGGATTAAGATCCCATTTGTTTAATTTAACATAAAAACATAACAGAGTCAGCTGTTGTGTGCTATCTAATTAACTAAAGTGGCTTTTGATCCTAAGACTCCTCTGAGGTCAGCCACAGGGATTTGGTTCCTATTTTTCAGAAATTACAGAACATTTCATTAGCTAGACTGATTGTCATTCTGAGAATCAAATATCTCAGCCATTAACTATATCATTGTAGCTACTACTACCTATGCTGCTTGCTCTTGTTTCACTGGGAAATATATATAACCTATTAATTTCTTTGTATTAATTCATCTGTTATTATTGTGTACTAAATACTGTGCACAGTAACAGTGATAAAGGCAAATGCAACCAAAGGAAAGGGATTGAAAATGTGACTATAATAATACCATTACATATCATGGTGGGCAACATTTTTGTGGCTTGAAACTGGCCTGGCGGGGGGGGGGGGGGGGAGCAGCTTTGGATGGGACTCTCATTTTTTGTAATTTATATTCAACTTTCCCTCAAACAAATATAACTCAGAATGGCTTGAATTAAAGCTAAGAATTAAACCAAAAGCTTCACAGACAGAATGAAAACAATTAGAAAATAAAACAATGACATTTCTTTCCTAGCTGAGACAAAAGTAGTGTTACAGATGATGCATCACAGTATGAGCTGTCAAATTATCAGAAACCAATCTTTGGATTGACATCCACCAACTTCCAGAGCAAAATCTGGAGCAAGTTCAGATGTTGAATGCAAGGCATACAGTGGCCCATATGGAAGAACCGAGTCTTAATATGTCCTGGGTCAATTAATTTAGGACTTTAAATGTGAAAAACAAATTGAATCTAGAAACAAAAAATTGGACAGAGTTTTAAAAAATGTATTTTTTTTAAAAAAAACATGCAACCTTCCCAGAAGTACTGGTCCATACCACTTGGATGCTGTATCACTGTACTGTCTGCTACAGTCCTTGGCAGGCAGATAGTATAGATGCAAAATGTGGTCTACCCATGATAGGTTTTGGAGGATTCTTCTTCTATCTCCTTTTCTTTATGTATCAAATGCTTTATATACTAAACTTGCAAGAAGGGTCTTAAAACAACCCCCCCTTATTTAATAGTGCGTATGTAATGCTGTAGATACAGTAGTAGTTGATATTATTAGTAGTAGTATTATTCAGATTAAAATGTCATTTTAACATTCTCTGAGAAAACTAAGTTTATGAGACATAATAGTATCCTCCTGAATTGCTCGTGAATTTCCTTAAGAGTCTGCTTCATAAACAGAACAACAACACTTAATTTAATATACTCACCTTGCATGGGTAAAGGGACAGGCTGTAGAAGAAACTGGTTATTCTCAACAGGTAGGCAACTGCTATTGCTATCTAGAGAGTTCTTATCTAAAGGATAGCTTAGAGATTTTCAGTTTGGGTTGCATTGTGCTTCAAGTAGATTAGTTAGAAATTCATGTTAAAAGCATCTTCCTGTTAAAATACCAAGACATGCCCAATATGATGTTTTCCCTCATTGTTATTTTGCCTTACATATACTGTATAACGTAGGGTTCCATTGTTGAATCTGTTGACTTGTGCTTTAAGTGGTGGTTAAAGTTGTCTGTTGGTTATAGCTAGAGCCGGATATTATTCTGATGAGACTCCCAAGTGATTATGCTTGTAAAAAAAGACAGATCCAAATAACATTAACTTCAGATTTTTGAAATCTTGATTGTGCAAAATGTTCAAGCAAGACTGATTTCAGCCAAGCTTTGTAAGTTGGAAGGGTTATTTGGGATGAGCTCTTTCCATAGTTGGTTTTCAGTGGACAAAATGGGTATCATTACCTGCCAGGCAGAAAAATTTTTCAACATTTTTTGCCCTACCAGTTCGCATTCAATTTGGTGAAAGAGAATTTGCTTTAAAATTGTATTTGAAAGGGAATGAGGATTGGGGTGAAAGTTTCATGTGTGGAACATGATGGTCTTTGGATTTGATTAGTTACAAAATGGACATAGGTTGTCCTCTCTAGCACTGCACAATCTTCTCTTTTGCAGACTACAGGTTCCTTGGTGTCTCATGTTTCTGATGTGTCCCAAGGAAAGATATCGTACAAGAACTCTCATCCTGGTTTTTTTTCAGGATAAGAAGTGCAGAAGTCAAGGAGATTTCAGAGTGATAGAATAAAGTATTACAGAAAACAACCCCACACCATTAGCATTAGCACTAGTGCTGTCCAACTAAAAAATTCCAAAAGGATCATCAGTGAAAATTTGAAAGGAATGAACAAAGGACCTGAGAATAAGTTAGAAAACTCCAGTTTTGTCCCCAGGGAAACTGCAAGGCAGTTTTGGCAGTTCTAAGTATTATGCTTAGAACTACTTAGTTCTGCCCAATGGTAGTGGGTCAGATCTGATTTAAGAGGAACAGGTGTGTTCATGAATGGAAAAAAAAAACTCCTTATGAATACTCCTTGTAGCTTCATTCGTCTTAATTCCCAAAATTAAGAAATGGGTAAGTAAAATATAGAATGTGAATTAGCAAGGCAAGAGCTTAACACCAAATCCCAAAATGCACCTTAAAAAAAAGAAAACAGAACAGAAAACAGAAAAAAAATATTTTTTTTCCTGGGATATGCATAATCTAGGAGAACTAGACAAATGGAAGAAACTCTTTGGACAGAGCAGAATTAGGTAGTAGTGGGACTGTTCATGCTTTAAATTTTATTTGGAACTCATGAATGCAGTACCTCCCTGCTGTTTATTAAAGGAGCCCAGCTTATTTCAGGCTTCTACCTGAGCTTCAGGAAAGATATTGCTGCTTTAAGGAATTCACTCATTAAAGTGAACATTACTCTTAAAGCAGAGGCACCTTTTTTCAGACTCCCACAAAAGCCTGAAAAAAAAGGGAGGCTACTTTAATGAACAGCAGAGAGTTGCTGTGCTCACATGATGTCTGAAGCATTTCTTTTGAAGGATGTTCAAAGCATGCATAGCCCTAATTGGAAAGAGGGATTGCTTCTAATATAAGTGGCCTTAAAATAAATTTAACACATTTCTATATAATTAGGCTATTCATAGTTTAAATGTCATGATAATTCAAAATGTCTCTTCCATATAGTGAGACTGTATGTCTTTGATGATCAGATCCTAAATAGCTATCTCAAGTTTCTCTTCTTTGAGACTTTCCAAAATCCTGCCGTTCACATTTGGAGGTAGACTCAACCTGATAATTACTGTGTTCATAGAATAATTTAATATAGAAAGTACAAGACAAAATTTTCCTGGTAGACAGAACTAACAATGCAGGTGACTTACATATGAAAGCTCCTACGTAGTAAGGATCTTTTCTCTTCTTGACCATCTCAGCTAAAGCAATTACAAGGAAATGTCCTGTGTTGAAATATCCTGTGTCATGTATGTGGTTATAGCATGTATATTAATGTTCTTCACTCAGGCTTTGTTATAAGTAGCTGCAAAGTCAAAAGAAAAATACTTAAGTCTATTCAAAAATGGTCTGCCATGAGTTGATATGATTCATATTGCCAAATAGTTTACTATTGTTTTCCTCACAGATATATAATCATGTGCTGCCCCATGAAGAAAGTTCACGGTCCCATAAGAAACTAAAGTAGCCAGGAGGGTCAAGAATCTAAAAGATGATTTGCAAAGTAGCATGGAAAGTCTTAGAGTTTCCAAGACATCTTAATCTAGCCTAATGGTTATAAAATGAAACTTAGGCAGTGTTTAAGTGATTTAAACCAAGATCTTCACTGTGACAACATTAGGGTTACATAGCACTTCATTTCAAAGAGTAATGACAGTTTAGAGCTAAATAAGCAAGATTGGTACTAAAACATAATGAATTTTTCCCAAAAAGAAGAAATTACCCATATATCTTTAAAAGTGGTATAAGTCATATGAGAATCATTGCTATTAGAAAATCCTGAATAATTAGAGAACATTTTAAAAATATTAATGAAACAGAAAGAACTTAGCAATATTTTCTCAGAGAAGCTCCTCCCCCCAAGATATGATTAGAAAACAGTTGTTTAATGATGGCCATGTTCCTTCCTCTAATTAAATAAATGCATAAAATACACTCATTACTTTTTTTCATAGATTGTACATGCCATTCTTATAATGACACAAGCTTCCTGTCCAATGTTTCAGGGCAGACTAGTGAAAAGTATGTTAGAACTAAGAAAATACACTATACAGTATATGTCAGCTTTGTGTCTATTTGGGAAGAAACTTTAGAGTTCTTTACCCATCTGCATGATCTACCTATAGTTAAATGGAAAACGATGGTTGATGTCCTTACTGGTCAAGGATTTTCTTTTAAAATTTTAGTTTTCCTTCCTATCATATAATTTTAAGCTTCTTGGAGCAAACGGGGTGTATTTGCTCCAAGAAATACATAAGCTTTCATAAGCTTTTTTTTTTTAGCTTTAAAGACACTGAAGATGGACTGAAGTCTTCTTATGAGCTTGGACTCTTAAGAATATGCCTATGCCAGATACTGTCTGTTTGTACAGACTGATTTTTAGACATCATCTAAGTTTCTGTCTTGAGTATTTTTTCCTTCTGCAATACAATCCTTATTTTTATCTTTTGCAGAACAAATTCCTCACATAGCCCAAAGAACCTCTAACATGTTATTGACAAAATGATTTAAGCTGGCTTAAAACTATCAAAAGCAGCAGAAACATCTAAAAAGGCAGAATTAACTGAACAAAAACTGGGTAGGAAAATCAAAGCAACAGTGATGAAGGAGCTCTCCATGCTCTGTCCCTAGTCCCTGTTTTAAGACAGAAAAAGGAAGTTTACAGCATTCAATTCTTTTTATTAGATGTACTTGAGCAAGGTTGAAACCTCAGGTATGAGAATTCAAGGAGATTCTTTTTCTTTATTAGGTGAGAATATATCAGCAGCAGATGTCAAAAATATTATACAGGATTTTCTGCGCCTTTCCATAGCATCCTCCTCAAAGAGAGATTTTTCCCTCATTATTTCAATAACAGCTTCATATGGAGATTCTTTTCTCTCAGATGAAACTCTTGCTTCTTTTTATGAATTAGCTGGTCAATTGGCCATCCTCCTAGTGATCTTGAAACAAATGGAATACATTTGAAATTTTTACAGGCCTTCTATTTCACAGTATAGAAAGCAGCAGAAGGACTGTTTTTAGTGACAACTAAATTTCCCATCACTGTCTGCAAAGGAGACCTACCTTCTCACTCATTGGATCCCAAAGGCAATGAGCAAGTTACATTCTCTCAGACACAGGCAAGTCTAGCAAGACATGTGGGAGGCAGGAAGGGATAAGAATTCACCGCTTATTCTGCTAAGCACAATGAGATGGTCTAGAAGAAGAAGGTTTAGTTATGTATCCCAGAGAGCTATGAAGAAATGAGAACAATCTCTCATTTTGCTGTCAGGGTAGATTTTTTGTTGTTGTTCTTTTGCTTAATCTCAAACAGAAAGCAATTGATTCTCTCTCTCTCTCTCTCCCTCTCTCTCTCTCTCCCTCTCTCTCTCTCTCTCTCTGTATATATATATAGAGTCCGAGCTCATAAGAAGACTTCAGACCATCTTTGGTGTCTTTAAAGCTAAAGAAACACACACACACACACACACACACATTATATGTTAGCATATAATCATTTATTCAAAATGTATTTCTGGAAAGTACACTAGGAGAACTTGGGTGCAGTAGGGAGGAATGGTAAAGTTCAAAAATAATGTACACGTTTCAGAGTTCTTCCCTATATGAAAATGGCTTTTCAGTTAGATATTGTGTTTTTAAATGTCTTTAAATTTATAAAGGCTGTGTTCACATGCACAGCTTCTTTAATCAGGGTTAAGAAAAGATCTAACATGCATTTGTCCAACATGCTAAACTTGAATAGTGTTAACCTTGATTGTACACAGCCCAGTGGGTTGGTTTGTTATTTGATTTTTGTATGAACCCTGAAATTCAGTAATAAGGTTAACTGTGTTGTGTTAGTTCTGTAAGTGATTCATGATCATGTATGTTTTTAGTCTTTCAAGAAAACAAAGGTTTGATATATTATTTGACACTGTTTAAGTACCAAAATGTGCTAGAACAGCTTTTCCCAGTTTGGTGCCCTCTCAGTTTGCTGGATTAGGATTCACACAGTTCTCCACCAGTAGTGGTGTCAACTTGGAATTTAAGGAGTTATTGTCCAACACGCTTGGAGAATCCTAAATTGGGTTAGAATACGCTGTTCCATCCTGATAGAGTGAATAAGAAGTGGTGCCTTTGAAATGGACAGCGGGGAATATGATCTGCCAGCTAGAGTTTGTGTAGGAGAAGAAAAACAAGATAGTTGAGCAGATTCAAAATAAACTCATCCGTTTGCACTGATCTGTAAAAAGTTTCTGCCTTGCCTTTGGAGTTCAAAGTGGTATACCTGGCAAACTTTTTTTTTTTATCCCCACAACAAGAACATGTGAAATAGGTAGGATTACACTGATCTCCACTGAAACCTTTAGGGACTATATAATCGAGAAGGACACAATCTATTCACATACATATTCACACACATACTCATACATGCACCTTTTATTTATATTTGTCTCGTAGGGCACCAAGCCAACCTCCCAAAGTGTGGAGTTCCAGCATTTAGGTGCAACCACTAAAAAGGCCTTTTCTCTTTTCTCAAACAAGTGAGCTTCTGCCTTCTTGGGAGGCAAGGGCTTCTTCCTAACATCTTAGATAACAGGCAGGCCAATATGAAAAGAGATAATACGTAAATGTATTATGTTGTCAAAGGAAATTTCCAAAGCTTGTATATCAATTTTCATTTCTTCTACATATTTTAATTTGTTTAATTATAGTTCACAATATGACACTTTTGAAAATTGATAAATAAAACGGTGCTATCTTTCTTTTGAGATAATTGAATGAGATAAACTGTACAGATTGATTTTATTTGTGTATTACCACTAACTAGTATTATGTAGACATGAAATTATATCTATTTAGTATCAACAAATAAGTGGGTTGAATAAATGTAGCAAACTTTCTGCACTGGAACTACATTTCATACATGAAGTGAGAATACCTGCACTGTCAGATTAACAAAACCGAAAAATCCAGATAAATCATAACTATGTGCATATCATTTTGACAAAGCATTTAGAAATGTTTTGATCCATTAATTCCTATGCACACACAGGTATTACATATTTTTAAAGCCTACAGACAGAGCTTCAAATTAAAAGGTTTTGTCCCAGTCCAATATGGTTTCGAGCATAAATGTGTTTTTAAACGTATTTCCCTAGTTGGATGAGAAACTATGTAATCTGCATAATGCCCCAGTCTCTGGGCAAGCACTGTTAAAACACAGTGATCATGTATTATGAATTGGCTCAATTATATTCATTATTGGTGTAGTATAAATGTTAATGCTGTTTTGAACCTGAGAAGCAACTTATTTTAATGTCCATAACTATTTCATACTATATGGACATTATTTAATGTCCACATTATTTCATGCCTAGGAGAGAAAATTGAAAACAGCTAATGTCTAATAAGGCATCAGTGGTTATTTACGTATAAGTGTTTGTATATCTTATCTCAAATGCCAAATCCATATGCATGTTCTTCCAGAATCTTCATTCTCAGGCTACATTTTTTTCTATGGGGCCTATAAAGTTCCAGTTTCTTTCCTCTCCAATAAGCTACCTGCAATTTCCAATATTTAACTTCCAGCTGAAGACCACTAAAGCCTAGGAAGAAAGCAATATTTTCCATTCTTCATTCCCTCATTCCTTTTCATTATGACTAGGGAGAAAAGCATAAATACCCTGACAATTATCTGCCGTACCATTCTCCACTGGGAGAAGCATTGTGGAGAGGACAAAAGAAGGAGAAGAGCTGCAGATGGGCTAAGAGAAAGAAGAAAGTTATAATTACAAATCCTGACTATAATTTCTAGCATGGAATTGTACGGCATGGAACTCCTGATTAACATGATATAACTGAGCTGAATTCATGTACTCCATTATCCAAATTAATAGCTGAATTGATCCCATTCCTCTTTCTTTCAATTGTGTTTTCTTTTATTGCTGTTTCCAGGGTGCTGGTTGCACTGCACTAGTGGTAGCTGTGGTAGCAAGAAAACTAGAACTTACCAAAGCTGAAAAACATGTGCATAATTTCATGATGGATACCCAGCTAACTAAAAGGGTAAGTTATACACAGCCATTTTTTGATACTTTTATAACAAGGTCTTGTTTAGTTTTGCTCCCTGATAAGGATGCTTCTAGGGACTGAACTTGGAAGGTTGAATATTGGGTTTCTAGGTTCTGAAGGATCATGTCAGCTTTAAGTACAGGACCCAATGTCATGTGAGCAAAAGCTTCGCATGAAGAAAAAACTTTCTGTTCTTCTATTCTCACATCTCTCCTTCCTTCTCCCCTCTTCCTCCTTCTCCTCACCACAGCTTTCTATTGAAAATTACCACTGAAGGCATCTTATAGTTTAAAATAATGTAGAAAGAGAGAGAGAGAAAGAGAGAGAGACAGCGCACATTAGAAAACACCAATTGTACAATCATAAATGATACTGTTCACAAGGAGCTGAGATGGGAAGGAAGACACTCTTAACTCCTTGTTCCATCTGACAGTGTGAACGTCTGGAATCTGCTCTGTGCCTTTGTCTAGTGTGGTAGATTGGAAGATGTTATGAAATACTAGCTTATGTCTCAGGGAATAGTCCAAAGATAAGCATGAGGGGTGTGTGTGTGTGTGTGTGTAACATGTAAATACACTGGCTGAAAAATAATTTAAACTGAAGTACGTGTACCGAGTCTATCTCTGTGTAGCAAGTACATCGTGTCTGAAAGGTACTGTCTGTTTGCAGATAATATTAAATACCCTTTTAAATGAAAGTGTTTGGAAACAGCAGTTAATATCTTACTCTTCAGCATTCCAACTTTTAATCACAATCAGTTCTCTTAGAAATATACGTAGAGCATGTTCCAAACCTTTAACTTCGTTTCATCTTTTTTTTCCATGGAGAGAAAACACTCCATGGAAACACAAGATAAAGGAGAAATTCCTCCATATGGAGAAAAAGGCAGGCGGACAGCATATTCATCACACAGGGCTGTCTGCAGAGTCAGGTAAAAAGGGCAAGCTGTCAGCCACAATGGTGCCATTGAAGCTCCACGTGTTTTTTTATGTCTGGCACACATGACATGCAAGCAGAGCTTCGATCACATACCATCACGGCCACCATCTTGACTTTTTTGATCCTTACATCTTTTCATGTATAAAACAACAAAGTGATGGCAATGGGTACTTGTTCCTTGAAGAACCAAAAACCAGAGGAAGGCAGAAAGTAAAAACAGTTGCTGTCCTTTCCATGAACTAACTATAACACTTGCTTTCAGAAGCAATTCTTCCTGTACAGGTTTATGATAGAAAAGATGTGCTAGGAAAGACTCGTAACATGAATTCAGCCATCCTGATGTGGAGTTTATTTTGTTTTTGTTAAACAGGTGAAAAATGCAGCTGCCAATGTACTCAGGGAAACATGGTTAATTTATAAAAACACAAAGCTGGTAAAAAAGATAGACCATGCAAAAGTAAGGAAACATCAGCGCAAATTCTTGCAAGCTATTCACCAGTAAGTACTCTTTGATTTCTCTCTTTTGCCCTTGCTAGGCTGCTGTGATAATCGCACAGGTCTGGCTTCCAGGCAACTGCTCCAGATCACCTTTCTGCTTATTCCATTGATATGGTACTGCATCAGATACTGAGCAAGTGGGTTTCTCTTTATGTAATGGGACTTCCTTCTATCCTCCTCCCCTCTCACCCCCTGATATGCCCCAAATCTGCTCCAGAGGATCCTGTCCTTTGGAACAGATTTTGGGCATACAGGGTAGACTAGAGAGTGGGGAGAAATAATATGTTGGTGATTCCTTTTCGCCAACAGAATGGTATGAATGGATATTACCCTTTCTCTCAGGAAGAAAATTATTTTGTATCTGAATATGAATTTCTGCTGAAAGCAAACAAAAGCAAAAAGAACTCTCCCCCAAACTTCTGCAGATGGATATGCGTTCATATAAATGACCGGATCCTCATAAGAATGATGCCTACAGCTCTAAAACCAAAGTTATCAAAGGCATGGGATGAATGTTTTGTGGTGGTGGGAGAAGGGAAAATGAATGGAAGTAAAGTGGGCATGTTGCATGCATTCATATCCCACCTGGCCAGATCCATCCCCTTCACTTGGAACTTTTCACTATGAATTATTTTGATTGTTTAAAAGTAAATGCATTTCATATATGTGACTATTTAGAGTAAAAGCTGTGCTAGTACATTATATGACACAGATATAAATATCTGGAGGATCATCTTATAATTTAATGGGAACTGTTAAAATTGAATAAATAATATTGGTATTAACCACCAGGAGACAGTTAATCACAATCAAATCACCCAATATTTTAATTATAACCGTTAAAGGTTCTGGCAATATACCGATTGCATTTCATGAGTGAAGGCTGTGATCTTTGGAATAACTGATGTATTTAAAAAGTAATATTGCTACAATAAGATTTGTACTTGGTGAAAAAAAAAGAAAAGAAACCTGTTGGTTCCACTTTGACATCTCAGAAGCCATGGTTTTGAGATGGAAACTTTGGGAGCTGCAAGATCCTTGTAAATATAATAAAAGCAATGCATGTTCCACATTATATTTCTGTCTTATGACTGCTTTTGAGAAATAGTCCATCGCTGTTTTGTCAGAAAAGGGGGCCACCATCATGATTTGAGTAGTAGGAAACTAATGGCTGTTGGGAACCGCTAACATTTCCTAACACCCATCAGAACAGAAATGAAGCAGGCTAAACTGTCTGCTTCATTTCCTTCCATCTATAGAGGAGCTGATCTCAGAAAATGAGAATGTGGAGCTCTGGAAATAACTGTAAAAATATAGGGTAAGGCACATGTCAATAGATGTCCATCCTAATACCAAAATCTTGGTGGGCAGAGAGCCTTGTGCTTTAATGTTTCTATACGACAATCACACAAAAAAGCTGTTTTAGATTATCTTCAGGTATGCATAAATATGCGGACTCTGAATCCTAATATTAACTATGATTTGTTGAAACAAGACAGTTACAAAACTGTGGTTTGAAACTGACTCATTTCAATAGATCATACTAATAGTAATAATAAGGTGGATATCATTAAAAGTTGCTAAGCAAAGCTGAAAACAAAAGTTTCCAATCTCTTCATCATGGCTGTGCAGACCCTGAGGCTTACTGTAATGTATAAAGCTAATTTACACTTTAGCATAAGTCTAAATGAATCCAGTAAACATTTCTTTTCTTCTTCTTCTTTTTCCTTTTACTACATCTAGAGTAAGAAGGGAAGTGGGACATCTGTACATTGAGCATTTCGATCATGACTCTCATTATGGCAGGCATGAATATAGTCACATATATTATACCAGAAGTGAAGGGGAGAGAGGTTTTGTAAATGTCTTTTTCTTCTTGTGCTATTGATTTGACCATATTAAATGGCTGTAATGGTATTTCCATTTTAACCTCAGTGGAGTAGAAGAGGCTGAATTAATCAATGGTTATTTAATATGTTCAAGCAAAATTCAATATCTGCAAATATTCATTCAGTTTAGCAAACCTGAGGTTCAGTGATGCCATATATAGAAAAGGGCACAATAGTAAAATGAAATATGCTTTTAGAAATATGTTTCCAGAAAATTTTCATTCCTTTAATTTTTTTTTCTTGAGAATTATAATCCAGAACATATACTGTATTAGAATTTGTTGTGTTTTCTTCTGTTACTTTGGAGGGCAAGAACTTGATATGAGAATTGCAAAAAGTAATATATTTGAGCTCAGATCACATTTCACAGCAGTATTCTGCAATGCATGCTTGGAATTAAGTTCTGATGAGTGCCCTGGACATATTTACAACTGGGATGTAATCTCTGGAGAGAGCCAGCAGATGATCCGTCTTTGTGCATCATTACATTTAATGCTGGTTGAATCCACAGCAATAAATTGCCTCCTAAATGGAACAGGATAGCCATTAATTATTATTCTTGTTTCAATAGAACGTAAGTTTTTAAATTTGTTTTCTAAACTTATCATCGAGGTGTTTCCCACTAGGGATAGTTCATATTTCGAGAAAGTTGTTTGAGCCTCCCTCCTGTAATAAAACAATATTCTAAAAGCTTTGCTCCATTAATTTCAAAATTTCTGCATAAGGGTGTCCTTCCTCTGCTATGGAATAGGAAATAAATTAAAGCGATTTCTATAATCTTTCTTATGCAGAGTTCTGCACCTCTTGGCCTTCAAATCAGATGGGTGGGATTATTGAGTCCCACCACGTGTAGGGAATACCCTGCTTCTTCCTCTGGAGATACTCCTTGCATTCTCATGCTACTGTCTGCCATCTCTTTTGGTCTTCGACCATGAATGCAATTAATAAAAATAAATCTTTAATTTGATAGTGACATATCTGAAATAGAGAAAGTCCCCAATCTATCAGCAAATGATGAGGAGGGGGGTTGTCACTGCTGTGCATCTGCTTTAGGAGGGACACACTTTAGCATCTCTTTTGCCTTTTGTTTTTCATTTGAAGATTTTAACTCCCTGCCATACTCCCTGACTTTCAGATCACAGTTACAAATTGCAGCAAGTGCGACAATACCAAGGACAAACCCACAGGGGATGCTTTCAGTTCAAATGGATTATGGTATGGCAGAGCTCACTGGACATTTGTCTTTTCCTGAATGTCCTCTGTCCAGATCCAAACTTGATCTGTTGGATCATAGGTTTCAAAATGCTGATTTGCAATTTTCATCGATATCTGAACTCAGTGAATTTTTTAATTCTTAGCCATATAGCAATGTAGTCTTCATCCATATTGATGCATATTGTCCTCACTTCCCCTTATTCTTTTCCTACAACAGCAGTTCTAACTCCCTCAAGCCTTAGTGGGCTTTCAGTCAAGGCAATCTCTCTGTCTCATCCGTGGAATCAGTCAAGAATGCAGAAGACGGTGCTTTCCATTTGTACCTCTCCCAAAGTATCCCGCTACTTCTTCCATCTTTCTTTCTTACCAGAAAAATTCTGGCCAAGAAAACAAAGACTGTATGGCTCTGCAGTCTTCTTTTGGTGGTAGCAAAAGGAAGCACCCTTTTGTTAGGAAAAGGAGGGAAGATCAAACTTCTACTACATAGATATAAAAATCATATTGCTATTTTATAGTGATCCATTTTTCCCATTGATAAAAGTCATGCTGGGATGGGAAGTTAAGCTTTTAAGTACTCCTGTTATTACTCAGTATATGTATAGCAAGGAACATGAACAGGCATGAATTCAGTTGTGGTGAAATGGGGCACAATGGAGAGTGTAATGATACAACAGTGTTATCCTGCATCTGAGCTGGGTGCAGATTTCATTAAGCCCTGGCCCCCTGGCACCGTGGGGAAAATGGGAGATCCAATTGCATTCACTTGAAGACCATCCCTTGTGCTGATTTGTTTTAGTAAATTTTACAGTTTCTTTTCTTTTGTTTTGTCTTTTATTTCAACAATGAAAATAGAGCTCGGAAGTAAGTTGTGTGAGCTGTTCCTTTAAAATTTGCAGAATTTACCACTGTCTGCATGCAACAAATTGATACTTTATTTGTGAATTTCTATAGTCTGGTTGCTACTGTGGAACTGCAATCCAAAGTCATGAATTTCTTCTGTGATAAGTGAAGTTCAGAAGGGATGAATCAGAGTATCAATATTTTGTAATTTACAGAGAAAGATCTGGCTAGTTTCATTTTTAATCTGACTGTTGCAGCTAAGAAAATGTTAATGTAAAAATGTTTTCCTCTCACAAGTCATGTAAGGCTAAGAACATTCATACCCTGAAAAATACAAATATCCTCTTAACATACATTTGTAAGAGAGGAAAATAATCAGAGCAGTTTATACTTTTTCGTATTTGTCCCAAAATTCATATGAGGAAGGAAGGAGTCTCCATTCTAAATTAATAATTGGCCTTTTTGTCTTCAAAAATAGTGGGCAATCTAGTTTTAATAGACTTCTAAATGTTTGTACAGACAGATCTACATGCCTAAAGATATATGCAAGTTGTGTTTATTCAAACCAGTGCTCTTATTTTATTTCCTTTTTTGGTTTATGTTTACAACGGCACAGGATCTTGTTCCATTCTTGCTCATAGATTCTTTTTCCTCCTGACATTATGAGGTTCAGTCTTTTCTCCTGACAGTAATGATGAATTTGTGCAACTAGAGCCATACTTCCATCCTCATTTCAAGCAAAGTGCATGCACAGCCCTGGGCAGGCCTTTTAGGGGGAATCAGGAAGCAGCCGAATTCTGGGCATGTGAATCAGCCAGATTTCATTCTGCAGAAATAAAAGATAAACAAAAATTCCATAGGCATCTATGGGAAGGGATACAATCCCACTGTTTAAGGTAAATTGATTAAAGTAAGTAAATAAAAGGATTCCAAAATAAGCAAAGAAGGCAATTCCAATGAGGTTTAGGGAAATGGCTTAGAAAAAAGAATAGAGTAAGATCTCTATCCATTTGAGGTTACTCTGTTTTTCTTTAATGAGATATAGATTTTCAGATATAAAAACTTAGAGCACAAAACAGCGACAAATGAGAGTTATGTTACGGACTGAATCACTTCCTCACACAGTTATCAGCAATGGGTTATGTATTTAAACCAGTGGCTTGTGGGTTTTTGCACAAACGCCTTTATTTCCGGTGCAGCCTCACGGTGATGGATGGCCACCTAGAAAACAATCCTCCAAGCAATTCTTTGTGGCCATTGATTTCCAACATAAAGAATGTCCTTACTCGCAGGGTTTCCATATTTACTTTGGTAGAGATAACAGTTCTGGTGCTCAGAAGAACGTACATATAAAACTGCTTCCTCTGATCAAATTAAAGAATGTTTGCATATCAAAGCTCTGAATGTACTTTGGTGTGAATATGGAAATTTGGAATTGTATTTTTTTTTTTTTGCACTGAAAAGCAGTGTGGGTGGAGGAGGGAACCATGAAATAGTTATTTCTGTCCTCCCCCATTTTGAATCCTGAGGACAAAAGAACTGCCAGTCTTCATCAAACTCAGTCAGCCTCTTTGGGGAGTAGACTTGGAGCACAAACTTTCCTATTACAATGCAGCATAATATGCCCTGTTTTTCCTGTCTTACCGTGATCAACTAATTAGCATGAATGGAATAACTTAGGCATCAAGGGAAGACTATACCCAGGGGCCTCTTTTACAGTATACCCATCTGATCTGCCTTAGTGTTCCAGTTCAGTCACTGACAGATAAACAGGCTAACTAAACCAATTAAAAAGACTGTTTTATCCATGCACATTCTTTTAAAAAGTACTTAGGTCAGCAACAACAACAAGAAAAATAATAACATATTAACATAATATGTTATTAATAACATATTAACAACTGACATATTAACAAGGGCATCATTTAGCTGCTGGTCAGATAAAAGCTTTTAAAAATTAAGAAGGAACTCACTTATCACTGTATTTTCATCAGGTTCAAACACCTCCTAACCAAATCCATTTCAGACTGAAGAGGGCTTTTACCTGTATCTAATCATGTAGGCATAAGGAAGAAGCATAATTACTTAAGGCTACAATAAAGATATTATTCATTACTTCCTATGGCTACTTGCTAGGATACGGGAGCTTTAAGGAATGTTTTGGCTTTCTTTCATATACTATGAATAAATCCTTACCTCCCTCTTTGAAGTCAGCGTTAACCATGGCAATTAGTAGTCTCGGGGACATCACATTTTCTTGCTCTCTCTTTCTTTTTTGCGGTGTTAAGGAAGCATGCTCTTCATTGTACCCAGACACATAACCAGTTATGACTGTACACAAAGTATTCAAGACATTGTCCATGCAGTTATTTGTTTAGATGCATGCCATATACAGGTTTTTATGAGCTTTCAAACAAGAGATATCTGACTTGAATTTCCATCTTTTAGATTAAGAAGTGTTAAAATGGAACAGAGGAAATTGAACGATCAGGCAAACACTTTGGTGGACTTGGCGAAGGTTGGTGCAACATTATGAATGAACAGTATGTTTTCTTGGTTTTGTTGATCAACTTACATTCATTTCTGAGCTTTAAGATTCAATTTGATTCAATGTATAATTAGAAAAATTGATAGACAGGGTTATGTAGTGATTAAGGAGTTGGACTGGCACTGGGGAGACACTGATGCTTGTTCACTGTCAGCTGTGAAAATTCACTAGTTGACTTTGGACCAGTCACTCTCTCTCAGCCCATTATAGTTCACAGGGTTATTGTTGTATGAAAAACAGAAGAGAGAACACTGTGTATGCCATTGGATCTCCAGAATGAAAGGCAGAGTATAAACCTAATACTGTATATAAATAAATGTATCTGGAATTATTAAGCCTACCTTGGTTCTGGGCCCTCTTAGATTTAAGCATGTATATGTACCTTTGAGGCAATCTTGACTCCTGGTGATGCCTGGACAGGTTCATGCAGTTTACCTGCAACGTTTTCAGAAGTGGTTGTCAATTGCCTTCTTCCTAGGAGTGAGACAGAGTGACTGGCCCAAAGTCACCTAGCTGGCTTAATGCCTAAGGCAGGACTAGAACTCATGATCTCCTTGTTTCTAGCCTGGTGCCTTAACTACTACACCAAATTGGCTTTCAATTAAATATATGTGGAATTATTACATGAAACCTACCTTGGTTCTGTGTACTATTAGATATTACTTCAATATTGTTCATAAATATTTGATCTGCTGAGAAATGAATTCTCAAACATATACCAATACCAATACTTTAATGGCCAAGTATAAAACATACACAAGGAATTTATCTTCGG